GATGCCCTTCAGACATGGCCACAGGCCAGTCCAATAGAGGCAATTCCCCGATTGAGGCTCCCTCAACCCAGGTTTGTCAAGTTGACACTAAAGCTATCCAGCACAACAATGTATAATGCCCACAGTAGAGTCTAAGGAAAGCACGGTGACAGCATGGAGAACAAAGTGCCACAATGCCACCCAGGCAGATGTCCCACAGCAGGCCGTTCATTCACTAAGCCTCCAACGAAGGAGGTGGGAATGGAGAAAGGCATCCATCATCTGAAAGTGGGGAAAGGAATGGCTGGAACGGTTTTCTGCACGGGGAATTTCCCTGAAGTGTAGACTTCACAGTGGTTGGGACGTAGTAAGACATGAAAACAGAAGATGGATTAAAATTGTGGGTAGCCTTGATTACCAGGCTCAGGAGAGTAACCTTGATTCAATAGACAATGAGAAGTCACTGAAAATTCTTGAGAAGACAGTAACATCTAGCCTGTCCTTTAGGAGTATTCACAGCAATGCTGACAATAGATAGGAAGGGTTAGATTAGAGGCCAGGAGACTCATTACAAAGACTTTATGATGGCCTCATAAAGAGGCAGTGAAGCCCATGGCAGGCTCTGTTGACTAGCTAAAGCAATACTTGCTGCCAACTCATTCTCCTTTGCTTCAGACCACCATGGAAGCTGGAAACACTGCCTCCTCCCTGCCTCTCCTCTCCTTCTCTTTGTTTAACAGATGTGTATTGCCCATTTGCCGTTTACTCAGCTCTGGAGCTGTTCCAAGGAACAAGACAAGCTTCCTATTCACAAGGAACTTATACTCTGATAGGGAGAGAGAGAAACAAATAGAGAAATAGACAAAGTCTCTCCATCTCCAGGTGAAGTGGTGATGAGTTCAAAGAAGGAACCTAAAGTAAGGAGATAGAGGGATGGAGGGAATATGCCAAGCAGATGAAACAGTGTGGAGGTGGGAATTTATTGACATGCTTAAATAAAAGCAATAAGAGGGCTGGAGAGATGGCTCAGTGGTTAAGAACACTAGCTGCTCTTGCAGAGAGCCTGGGTTTGATTCCTAGCACCATGGCAGCTGGCATCCATAACTCCAGTTCCAGGGGATTTGACACCCTCTTCTGACCTCCGCAGGCATTGCATGGCATGGGTGCACTAGATACATGTAGGTGATACACTTATACACATAAAATAAAAATAATAAATAAAATTCTTTAAAAAAAGAAAAGCATAAGGCCACGGAAGGCTGGTGAGCACCAGGGACAAAGAAGCAGTGGATGAGACAGAGAAACTACCTGCCATTGGTCATGCCTGCTGTTACATACTAAAGTCTGCACTTGGATTTTATTGTAAATAAAGATCAGAAGTTGTAGGGGAGTTTTGAAAGAGCAATGGCACAATGTGATATAAATGCTGAGTCTGGCTCTGTGTGGAAAATGGGCTGTGGGGATTCAGGGAGGAAGAAGGAAACCCCAGAACTCTATCACTGGCGGTCCAGGCAGTATAGGTGGTGGATCTGGTGATGTGAGAGTAGCTGGACTTAGAAAATACTGTGAAGAATGCTGACTAGAAGTGTGGATAGGCTGCTATGGGATCTGGAAATGAATGAAAGGAGTTTGCCAAGGATTGTGTTACCTTGTCTGTCGGGGATGATCAAGTACGTTGATATGAACATGAAAGGTTGGAGGCACCTAATAGTGAAAGTGAAGGTGCAGAGGAGAGTCATTAGCTTTGTGAGCCTAGAGTTTAGAGGAGAGGCACAGAGTGGAAATAGAGTTATGGGATTTGGCAGAGTTGTTTTTCTGTGAAACTGGAAGGAGTCACCTAGAAGGGTACGGATGGAGAAAGGAAGCACTCTGAGAACTAAACTCTGGAAGCAAGCACTGCAACAGTTAGAGGTGCAGAAGAGGAGCAAGAATTAGCAAAGGAAAGTGGAAAATGGTGCAAACAAGAATTAGAGGAAGATAAGGAGGGTGGAATCTAAGAAGCCAAGGGACAAAGGCATATGAGGAAAGAGGAATTGTCCATCTCAAGCACACAGGTTCTATACAAATTCAAGCAACAAGGTTGTGTTTTCTTCCAAAAGCTCTTCGTACCTCAAAATGAGGTAGAGTATCAGAGAGGCAGACCTCAACTTGTATGGGAAAGAAGGTTAAAGGCATGTGAATTAGTTATCTCTTGCCTATAATAAACCACTCCAAAACCTCATTGTTTAAAACAATGACCATTTATTCAGCTCATGATCTTGGTGGGTCAGCAGTCTGGGCTGAGCTCTGCTGGATGGTTCTTCTGGTCTGAGCCAAGCTGGCTGTTATCTGGGTTTCCAGGACTGTCAATGGGGTGGCAAACTATATCAGCGAGGCCACCTTGTTGCTGATAGTGTTGTCTAGGGTAGCCTGTGACGCTAAGTCCTCTTTCTAATGGCCACATGTTCTAGCAGGCTGGTTTTTCAAAAGGTCATTCGAAGGCTCCAAGGGTAGCAAGAAAAACAGCTCCCAAATGCAAGCATTTCTCAAATTTCTGTTTTTGTCATGTTTACTTTCTGTTGGCCAAAGCAAGTCACATAGTCAAGTTCACAGACACTATAAGAGAAGTTTGGTTACACAGAGGTTCAAACAAAATGGGGGCCATTACTACAATGATCTACCCAGCAAAAGAGTAAGCAAAGCAAGATTGAAATATGCAAGAAAAGACAGGTGATTTATCTGAATGACTCATCAAGTGTGATTATTTCTATGATGATCTTTGCTAAGTACAATAAAGTCATGTTGACAACTTATCACCCATTTAAAAGAAACTGAGAAGGATTAGGAAAATTGAGATAGCACTTCTGAGAAGAATAAGAAATCTTTCCTACTTATTCAAAGTGAGTAATTTAAATTTTATAGATTAGTTTTTAAAACTTATTTTAAAACAAGCATTTTTCCTTGTCAAAGAGTCATCTCTTGCTAACTAAATTAATTATTTATTCCCAATTTTTATCAAGAAATATTAGCTTACAAAAATAGGAAAGAAAACAGTGTATTGCTGCATGATTTCCATTTTTTATTATTTCATCATAAAAATGTAATTTTATTAAGAGCTAGTTATATCATTGCACAGGCTATTAGATGAACATTATCTCTGTCCATGTCTATCTGACATGGAAGTATGAGACCATCTGAGGAGACTGTGTGTGTGATTGTGCATGTGCACATGGGTGTGCATATATATGCGTGTAGTGGAGGCCAGAGGTCAACCACGGATGTCTTCCTCTATTGCTCTCCAACTTTTTTTTAAAACAGGGTCTTTCACTGAACCTGGTGCTTATCAATTGGCAGATTAGTTGGCCAGCAAGCCCTAGGTGTTGGCCTGTGTCTGTCCCCCAGCACTAAATTACAGATATGCACCACCACACCTGGCTTTTTGCATGGGTGTGGGAGATCTAAACTTTGGTCCTTATACTTGCACAGCAAGCTCTTTACCAATTGAGCTATCTTCCCAGCCCCATTTAGGGAGAGTTCTAAGTACCAAATCCAAGAGCAAACCCATATGAATCAATTTCTAGTTTCTCCATACACACACACACACACACACACACACACACACACACACACACACGCACACACACACACACATCTTACATTCTATTTTTGACCAGAAGTTTTGAGTTGATGAGCCGGTGTAAACAGGGATCTATAAACTGAAACAAAGAATAAAGCAAAATCAGATTTTTCTCTACAGAAATTTGCTCACTGACACTTTTCCTCAGATTGAGAGAAACGTTGGAAAATTGCGTCAGGATCAAATGAGGAAAAGGGTATTAAAATGCTATAAAAATCATTAAGCAGCTTACAAATGTAAAATAGATTACAAAATGCTTTTCCCTTTCCTTTCCCCACCCTAGAATTAAATGAAAACCTTTTTATCCAATAAAGCCAGCTGGAGAGTAGGTGCTGTGAGCTATCAGATTCTGAAAACAATCCAGGCGCATATGTCTCGCGTGTGTACGTATGTGCATGTGTGTGTGTGTGTGTGTGTGTGTGTGTGTCTGGTGTGTGTGTGTATGTTGTACATACAACCAGCACTCTGATTAAATAGATATTGGGTAAATAGCTACATATATAATAAATATATTTCTATAAATAAATGCCTGATCCATATTTTCCCAGCCTGTAGTCTTTGTAATACTAGTTTGATAAGATGTTACTTTTTGGCCACATAAATTGGAAACAAAATGAATCCAAGAAAGAATTGATTTGAGTCTTTGATATGCTAACTTGAGTTAGGAATATCCAAAGAAGGAACGTAATGAACATTTCCCACGCTTGTGTGTAGAAGTTTGGTCCTGGTGTCCTGTAAAACATTCTTGCAAGGTACTACCTTGGCCATAGACATCCCAGCCTTCATTGTTCGTAGTTTTTAGAATGCCAATGTGCATATAACTGAGCACTCTAAACTCCTAG